TTGTGGGGTGAAACCAGTCTCAACAAGATCCCAGTAGTGTTTGGATAGTGTTGCTTGTTGTTTTAAGGATTTGTTGTTGAAGGAATGCCGGTGGTTATAAAGACATTGCTTCCAACATCCCACAGAGATTCCAATATAAACCTTTTTCAGGTTTATATTTTCCTTGGGAAAGATAGTGGCCTCATAAACAACATTTTCCGACATATATTTTCCTCCTACTGGACATTCTGTTTTAATCCTACAATTACAGGTGGGGTTATTTTCTTGTAATTCACTACCATGAAATTTTTTAAGAAGTCTATTATTGTGGGAATTGATAATTTTCTCCACACAAGAGTAACTGATTTTTAATGTTTTTCTGTTGAAGATTTTCTTCAATGGATTACTATTATTAAAATGTTTATATATTAATTTCAGGAAAAAATGGGCAATATTAATATTGGATAGCTTGCAGAAGGGTGGGTTGAACCATATGATTTTTCTTTTCTTGTTCTTAGAATTATTGGATGTATTGTTTTTTTTAAATCTAGATAATTTAATCTTTGTGTAAACATACTTTTCTTGAGGGCTTGATTGTAGATAAATTTATTTTCATTAAAAATTTTGTTGCTTGAACATAACCTATTGATCCTAGTGTTGACTATTGGGAATTTGGTTTATTATAGACTTTGGTTGGTTTGAGTGGATGTTAATGTAGATGGAGGTTTTATTTTCTTTCTGTAAAGGTTTGAATCTATCATTTGAAAGATTAAGGGTAATATCTAGGAAGTTAACGATTTTTAGATTAGAGGATCAATCTTGAATCCCAGAAATTTAAAAGTTTTTATAATCTTTTTTTGTAATTTGGAAGTTAGAGGACCATTACTATTAGGAATAATAATGAGACCATCATCCTGTCATATATATATATATTAGGGGAAAGAATTATGACAAAGAAATATCTTTGTGTGACGTGTTTCGGACTAAATTTATGCCCACATTGATGCAACTACACATGTACACAAATGAAACATGGATGCTTAGAATTTTAAATATTACTTTTTACTTTCCTTTCTTATTTGATTTATTACATTATTATGTGTGTGTATAAGGGAAAATTTCCATGTATAAGATCTTAAAAACAGGAATTAAGGAGAGGAAAAAACAAAAAAAAATTAAGATTCAACCAGAATGAAATGAAGACCTGCCAAATAATGTCAGCTTGTGTCTTTTCTCTCTGTTTGCACAGAGCTGGACAATGTGAGTTGATAACAACAGCCTCCAGGATGTTTAGATGGTGTTTTGTCAGGGCTCTGTACAAAACAAAGAAGAACTCTCCTGAGTAATTGGTTCTGCAAGTGTCCCTACTTAATAAGTGGTTGTTGATGGCAGACTAATGAATTTGTGATGTTGTGGGTGCATGTCTATGAATTGGGCCTAGTACATGCTGCACAATTCTTACCTCTAACTACTGGTTAGTCTTGCCCACATAGCTTCACACCAACATTTATATTGATAAATAACTAAACTTTGTTCATGGGTGGGCCAAAACATCCATACAGACAGAGGGGAAAGTGCTTCTCATATTAAAGATGCTATAAACTACCACAGAATTGAATCAATGTACCATTGAAGAAGAGACGTCAATGAAAAATTGACCATGCAAACCACTCCATGTTAGTTTAATGTAGACAGGACAATTAGGTGGACTAGATGTTTTAGTTTCATTATTCACAGTTTTAAGTTTAATGGTAGTCAGAATCACACTTTCTGGATAACCATTATTGAGAAAAATGTTGGTAATTTACCTGAGTTCAGCATCAAGCATGCACTATGAACATATCATCAATGCCCGATGAGTCAGTGTTTTTACAAGGTTAATTTTCTTAGATTTAGCAGCAAAGGAGTCCCAACTAAGATACAATCCAGTAAACATGGGTTTCTTATATATGCTTGTGAGATAGGGAGCCTCTTGACTAACACATCAAAGAAAGGCAACATATTATCATTTTCTATCTTCATTGTAAACTGCAAAGAGGGGTGTAGGTTATTTAAATATTGAAAAATTTTCTTCTACCCCTTTATGTGATACAAAGGACATAAATATATCATCAACATAATGAACATAGCAATATGGTTTGAGAACCTTGTCAAACAATAGCTTCTCATAGAACCCTACAAAAACATTGACCATAAGAGGTCCTACAGGACTACCCATCGAGTCCCAAGATCGAAATAGGCAAAAAAAATAAGATTTTTAATTAATATAATGGGTTTCAAAAAGGTAATCTGCTTTAAATTTCTGAATCAGTAAAAAAAAAAAATATTTGGTTTGTAGCACATCTTTAAAGTTCCGGAAATCAAGGATATTTTCTGTTTATCACAGTGACCATGTTTTGCTCCATGTCAGAAACCGCAAACAGGGTAAAAGGTTATATATTTGGCCTCAAATTAGAAAACAACAGCTAAAATTACTGTTTTTGACTAACATAGTCACACAGTGCATATTTAATTGAAAAAACACCTTATTTTTCGAAGAATCATCCAACTTTTTTCAAATTATGACCAAAGTTTGCCAAAATTTGGCTCAATTTATACTAAAAGCGCCAGCCAATTTTGGCCTAAAGCCTTGAATATCTTGAAAATGGTTACGGTTCACATATCAAAGTATGCCATTTTTGAAAAGTTCAGGCTGAGCTCCATCTGAATCTTTAAAACCCATAAAGTGACTCTTAGCCGATTTTTCATAAGCACAAAACCAAAATTCATAACACATGATGTCACAAGAAAGAAACACTTTGGATTAAAGACATCATGTCACAAGAAAGAAACACTTTGGATTAAAGCTAATGACTGAATCTAGGTAATTTTTCAAGTAATTGTTACAAAAGATAAGATGTGCAAAAGTTGTAAAAACCATTATGTTCATATAGTGATTAAAAACATCCTCATAAATGAATAATATATTCTAACAACAGATAAAGTTCCGAAAGAATTAGCAACTGAGGGTGTGTAGATCAGAGTTGGTGAGTCAGGTTAAGATGTGAAAATTGTCATTCATGATTCCATGAAAGTTTTGAAGTTCAAAAGACAGATTTCTGGTTTGGGAGGGGCTAACTGTATTTCGTGCATCAGTCAGTGGAAGGGTAGGAGTGACAGGAAAAGAGTGGAAAATGGTTTTCTTATTGAGAGATCAGTCAAGGACACATGAAAACTGTATAATGAGTTGGTTGATGTGGATGGTGACATTATTTGTATCAGTGGAGATTTCAAGGTTTGACAAAGAAATCAAATCATACAAGCATAGCCATCACACACTGATATATCAATGTAACAACATGGTTCCTCAAGGTCCTTTACTGCTGCCTCATCGATTACCAATATTAGATTGAAAAATCTGGACCTCAATCTTCCAAGGCCTGCAGGTGTTTTGCAAACTTTTAGATTGATGGAACATGTAGTTGAGCCATTTTGCTCTAGTGGTTGAGGATCAATTGCCACATGTTTCTGTGACAAACCCACAGTAGCAGAAAAGGCTATCATTTAGAGGAGCTGCATGCTGCCAATTTGCTTTAATGTTTGCATGCAGTTGATCCTATGTTTATTAGGATGGCTTCAGTATCTGTCATGTTGCATTTAGTCAAAACTTCACTGTTTTTAATGCATGTGAAAGGCATCACAGTTGATTGATATGTCATGGGTAGAGAGTCCAAGTTTCTGAACCATGAAGTAGGGATATCAGTACTACTGATGTGTACACATCAATTTTCACCTTTAACAAAACATCACAAGTATTCCAAAAAGATATATATTATAATTATTTTTAAAAAATATGATTCCTTTGCTACATAAGAGTTCTCATGTTTCAAAAACAGGAGCCAAAAACTTCAATATAATTATTAAAATTAAATTGAATTAATGTATCAAGCTCTGTTTCATCCTCAAGCAAAATTTTTGGATTAACTAATCTTGAAATTTACGTAGCTTTATAAGCATATTCATTTGTATTTAATTTTGCTCAGGAAAACTTGTATTTAGCATAATAAATAAAACCGTTGTGGTGCTTGTTTCATTGAAAATAACACTTTTAGGATGAGAAATAAAAATTTTTGAGGGTGGTCAAATACTTTTGATTGGTAGTGTAAGTAAACCAAATAAGAGAAGAAAGGAAATTACAAAAACAAACCTTACCTATCTAAAGCCTTCAAACAAAAAAACTGGAACCTACTTAACCTTTACCATGCTGGATGCAAAAATTGTCACCCTAGAGTTCTCAACCCTTGGTGTCTCTAGGTTTCATTCTGTTGCCTTGAGATGATTGTTATAAATAAACCCTTGTCAACTGTTATTTCCAGTATTTTAAGCTGGAAATTGCCTACTAATGTTTTGAAATGAGGCTAAACTTAAATTTTCCAATGCCATTTTGAATTCTTTTTCACTCTACATTATTAAACTCAGGTTAATTTTTTCACGATTTTTTGTAAAAAAAAATGGCTGCATCAACATCTAACAAAGCCTTTATTCAAGAGTATGTCGAATTCGACGGGAGAGTCAAGTATATATATATAAAAATATATATATATATATATATATATATATATATATATATATATATATATGTTGCTTCAAATGTTATTTTTGTGAATACCTGTGTTTTTCTATTTTTAATTGTGTATCTATCAGCTGGCACACTCAAAAGAATGTGCTCTCCAGCAGTGTTTGAACCTGCATCTTACCTTTTTAGGAGAAACAGAGAAGCTTTAGACTGTTCAATCACAGAGAATCTCATACATATACAAACACACACACACACACACACACACACACACACACACACACACACACACACACACCCTAGTTTACCCATTCATCAAAAATAACTGTTATATTTAATTTTGTGCTTGTGACAAACTTGTAAAATATACAAAATTTTATATTCCTCTGCATTTTCTTGTTTATGTTCAATAATTCCTGTATATATGACTAAACGAATAACAATTATTTCTTTATTTATTTTTAAGGTTTGCATACTTTAAAAGCAAAACATCAGCTGACCATGCCGTCCAACATATCACAAAAAATATAGATGGGTCACCTCTTGTAGTTAGCCATTCAAAGAAACCCATAGGTGAGTATGCTATGCTGATTTTCTCTACTAGGTGTTTGGAATATGATCTCTTGTAACATCTACAGAAGTTGGTTGGGACACACAAGATGTCAAGAATGATAAAAAGTTTTAAAACTTACTTTTTTTTTTGTTATTGTTACAATCTGATGTGTGGGTGGTGAATAATGGCACAGTTTGAGAAATGAGAAAGCTGAGTTTGAATTCCTATCATGTTTATTACATTTACTTATATGCAAATACCCTTGGGAAGAGTATGAATCCATCTCTTCCCTCCCCAGCTATAGGTTGAATTACAGCATTGACTGGGCCCTGTAGCCTTGGTTGACAACTAGTCTACCACAGAAAGAAATGGCCAACTCATGTCTGAAATCTGCCTAGTCATTCATGAATCACCGATGTGTGTATCACATATGGTAATTAATGACTAATACACAAATTCATCATTACATTCTGTAGTGTTGCAAATTTATAAGCAATGTAAAGGGATTTATGTGTGTAAGGAATTGTGTTCCATTGACTTTTTACATATAATAAATTAGAAACACTGAACAGTGGTAAAGACATTCTCATGTATCCTCTGGTATAAAAAACCTTCTGAAATATCTATTGTTCCATGCCTAAAATAGTGCTATCTCTGAAATTGCTAGATATCAGTTTCTTTAATCTGCCTATTGGTGTTTCAAAAATTAAAATACAGCTCACTGAAGTGTCAAGAAGTGCCTAGAAAATGCTTTTTAAAACATAATGCTAGTGAAAAAAATCAAATATGACAAAGACATTCCAAATGTTTTTGACAATTTAGTCTTGATAGTAAGTAGGATTTCTTCCACTTTCTGGTATTATGATGGTGCACAAATGTACTTTTGATTTTTATGTGAATTATGCAAATTAATATTTAATTTATACAAGGTTTTTGGCATACTAATTAAGTTGTGACAGGTCTTCTTCACGTGCTACTCTCTTATCAGAAAGTGTAAGAAGACCTGGAGGACGAGTTTTGGTGTTTCAGCAGTGATTCTGAAAAATTAAAAAAGTTTCCTTACTTCTAAACTTTTGACCATTTAAATGATTTTCCACCACCTCCCCTATTTATTGCATATTGAGAAAAAATATCCATCCTCACAATTATTAATAGGTATTCCTTACCTTGTATTAGGCACTTAAGAGTATATTCCACAAGATATTCACTATTTTGTAAATCTTTGAAGCTTTGGATGCTTCCCTTGACACTACAACCATAACCTCTTCAAGTCGTCTATTCTTCCTTATCCTCATAATCTTCCTATTTCATTTATCACACATCTTATTTATCATAGCCTCTTGTCACCCTCTACTTTGACTATCTCACAAGCCTTGAATTAGGTGAACATTAAGAACAAGCAAGGCAGGAGTGCCACTAGCACTCAAGGGGTTACAGAGAGTAAGACTAAAGAAGAGTGTTTGGGAAAAAGATAAAGAGAAGGACAGGGATCAAGGTCAAGGCATCAGAAGATGTCGATTGACATTATATTTGAAGATTATAGCTATCAGGGAAGCAAGTTATAGGAAGGGAGTTCCACTGATGGGAGGTGCAAGATAAAAAGCTGTTGGAGTAGAAGAGATGGCTACATTTATTTGTTTCAACAGTGAAAGAGTGGGACCGAGATGCCAAACTAGTAGCACACTTAAATTCATGCAGTTTTGGAAAGGGGGAAAGTAGCTCGTTGGAGCAGTTGCCTTGAAAGTACTTGTAGAAAAGACAGAAGGAAGCCACAGCACGTCTATGAGATAGCAACTGCAGATGGGATGCCAGATCAGGACCAACCACATTGCATATCTGTCTCTGGATTTTGTTGAGGACCTTGAGATGAATAGTGGGGGCACCAGACCATATATGGCAGCAGTATTCCATGCAAGGACGAATGGTTGATTTGTAGATTTGAAGGATGGACTTAGGCAAGAAAAACCTTCTGGCATGGCACAGAGAACCAACTTTCCTTGTGATAGATGAAGGTATAGATTCAATGTAGTTGTTTCACTTCAGGTCAGTGGACAGCATGAGACCAAGCAGGTGCAGAGAGGCACCCTCATGGAGTTGGGCATCAGCTATCCTAATGGAAAGCAGGGAGGGTTCTCCGTGGTGGGTAACTGAAAGCAGTTTTGTTTTAGAGGCATTAAAGTTTACATGCCATTTCCTGCCCCAGTCGACATCAGATTGGAGGTTCTTCTCAAGGCCTATGGCCAGGTTAATTTTGTCAATGCTGCCGGATTTTATTATTGTCTTTGCTTTTCAAACTGTTCTCATGCTAATGAAATTTGATTTTTCTCAGCTTGTGAACCAGTGTATTGATGTGTAATGACATCGAATCCATTCAGTTTCCTATATTGGAAAATGTTCATGGGCAAAGTTTCAGCAGTGGAGCAAATTAAAATTGTTTTTTTCCTCACTTTTGTTGGTTTGATTTAAAAACAAAGAAAAAAATCACTAAAGAGAATAGAAAATATTGGATAGTACGATTACTATCTGATAACTACTCTACTGCCTACTCCTACAACCTTACTACATACCTCAAAGTATATAGTTGATTGGTTGATTTTCTTTAGCCTTTAACCTCTGTTATTTAATGCCAAAATATATTTTGTATGTAATTTTATGCTTTCAAGGTAAAGATCTTTTTTAGATATATAGTTTCTAGAAAATAAAATGTATTGATGGTAATTTTACTATAAAAATGTATTTTTATATTTTTTAGTGTTCCTTTGATTATCATTTTGCTATAAAAATATATTGTTGCTCATTTTATTTTAAAAAATGTACTGTTGATTTTTGTTTGGGTGTTCACTATTTGCCCATAGCTGGGACCCTAACAGGTGCTACCACCTTGGGTCAGAGTGGACCTGGGAACAACAGCAGTTAAGAAGTGGTTCCACACTACTCAAAACCTCCGAAATTCCAAACAGAGACCTTTCTGTCGGACATAGTTTTTTGTCAATCCCAGAATGAACACAGTATATAGAAAGGTAGAATAAAGTATCAATGACAAGATAAAGATTACTGTCAAGTGTGATGTAAAATTTTGTATTGAGAGTATCAATCAAAATAGTATGAGATTGTTATGACACCACTTGTAACCAGAGCAATTGCCCAAGATATCTCAAAGGCTTTTTTTGACATGGGGTGACATGGGGTGGGGGGTTATGATCCAAACTCTCCAGCTATGGCATTCCTGGAAGAGTTTACACAATCATAGAGTCCTTTCTCTCAGATAAGTCCATGAAGGTTGTTTTGACCAGCCAGTCTTCTGAAGCAGCTCATGACTTCAATGCAGGCATTTGTCCAAAACTCTCTCCTCTCAGTCCTACTCTCTTTCTGATTTTTATTAATGATCTGCCTTAGAATATTCTCAGATCATAAGTAAGCATCTATACAAATGATACCACAGTTTATGGATGCACTTCCAAAAATCAGAATCTTGCAGCTGATTTTTCCTCTGATCTAGTTCTAACAGCTCAATAGGAAAAAAAACTTGTTAGTTACTTTGAAAATATGAAAAACTAAGTTCCTATTGCTACCACTGAATTCTATGAAAATTAATAATTTTCTTGCATCATGATGAACAGTTGCACTCTCAAAGAGGCTTCATTCTTTGAACATCATTTGGGTCTCAAGTTCAATCCAGACTTCAAGTGGAATTCATCTATACAATCAATTAATACAGATACTGGAAAAAATGGTCAGCTCATTTTATTGCTGGGCAGGTACCAGACTCTTGTCCTGCTGTATCTTTATAACAGTCAGATTAGATTAAAAATGGAGTATGACTACCACATCTGAACTGGAGCTGCCCAATCTTCATTTTCAAATCATGATAGAGTTAAAAATCATTTATGTTATATTGGTGGGGGGACCTTATTTTCCACACTGCTGCCTCTTTCCCCACAGACACTTCACTGCCACATCAGGACTGGAGCTGCCCAATCTTCACTTTCTGGCCATGATAGAGTTAAAAATTGTTTATGCTATATTGAGGCGGAAACCTTATTTTCCACTCTGCAGCCTCTTTTCCAACAGGCACTTCACTAACCTATCGCTGCTTGATCTCTCTCTATTTTCATGGCAAATGTTCAGATAAGTTACATTTTTTAGTTTCACCAGTTCAGACCTTCACAACTAGGACACCAGGTTACTTCCACAGAGTTGAATCACCTTCATTTCTCCCGTACTTCAAATGTAAGGAGAAAGTTCCACTCTGCTTTTTAGCAAGAACTGTTACCATATGGATGCTACCCTGAACACCACCTCTTCAAGTTATTATCTGTTCTCCTTATCCTCATAATCTTCACATCTTACCACCTCCTCTTTCATTTATATCACACCTGGTTCATTATAGTTTCTAGTAATGCTTTACCTTGAGTATCTCACATGCCTTATATTAGGTGAACATTAATAAAAAACCCAAAATCCTCATCGTTATGACCAGTTATAAGTGTAGAACTCAAGTCCAACTTATGTCAACCATTTACAAAATTGTCATTAAATCAGTATTGAAAACAAATGACATACTCAGCATTGGGTGTATTGAAGTATAATAAATCAACCAAAGATGAGAACATCAGCTACAAACCTGGATCAACTAAACCAACTTTTAGTATAAAACAGAATTCAAAGGGACCAATAAGATAAAAACCAAACAAGTAATCTTCTACACCTTTGTGCAAATTAATTGAAACAACTGCTTTAGTTTCCTTTCTTTCACCATATGGTCAGTTTTAGACTCACTGGAGTGACAAGATGTAATCAACTTCTATTTTTTCCTCAGATTAGGTCATTTGCAGTGGTGTGCAGTAATATGAATCTATTTTCAGGGTGTATGATGAAATTTGTTTAGTTTTGAAAAATATTGCGTCAACCATGATTGTTTCATATTTTCATCACACCCAGACACTATTGTCTTGACTGTCGATTAGTTGTCCTACAGCCATTGTCTGTGATGGATGTTACTCCAAGGAAGCATATGGAAATTGTAACATTGCACACACACAGACTAGCAAGTCTTACCAGTGAGCAAATCAATGTACTGTAGAACGGCCTGGAAACTCTCCTCATTTAAATCCAATCAAGAATCTGTGGTCAATCTGCAAGGAACAACTTTGTGGAATGGATATATGAAGTATTAACACTGGGTTATGTTTCATTGGGAAAATACGAAAAAAAAGTAAATACAAACGGAATTATTCGTTTTGTTTCAATTAATTTGCACAAGGGTGTGTTATTGTCAGTCGAACCCAGAACTTTTGCCAATCATGATGAATGGATGTTCCCTCAGGATGGCCCTGTATCTTGAGCACCTATTGGAACTTAACCTCAGCTTAGATTTCGTGGAACTCATACATATGATCCATTGCTAAAAATGCTAGAAAAATGGTTGCTTCTATCAACTGCTCCAGCAAGTACCTCACTCCTCCTGCTATCCTTTACCTTTACAAGAGCCAGATCAGGCTGAAAATGGAGTACTGCTGCCATATATGGGCAGTTTCTGCCCAGTCTTCACTTTCCACCTTCAATAAAATCCAAAAGCATCGCTATGTCCTTGTAGGTGACAAATTATTTTCCACCCTACAACCCTTTCCTCGCAGACGAGGCATCGCAAGCTCATCGCTATTTCCATGGAAAGTGTTCAAATGAACTACATTCCTTAGTTCTACCAGTTCTAACCTAAGATTTGGCCATACAGTGTACATTGTAGAGAACCACCTTCCCTTTGTATTTCCCTTGGTGAGATGTATGTTCCACTCAAGCAACTTCTTCCTACGAATCGCTACTTAGTGGAACCATCTCCTAAGAGGTTGCTTCCATGATCACTACAGTCTTAACCTGTTCAAGTCTAGGGTTAACTGTTATCATCCACATATATCTGTGCCTCTTACACTGTAACCTTAAGTGGCCCTCGGGCCTTGTATGGGGTGAACATCATCGTAAGAACAGAAGTACTAACTATAATCTACCTACAAGGATTTGACTTATAGTAACCGAGAAGAATTATAATGTTGGGATCATAACATTTGGCCAGAGAAATAATAGTTGTTCATTTCAAGTTCAATGTATTTTAACATTCAACTGCATTATTGGTTGTCATTTTAAATATTGATCTCAAGTAATTTTTTTTCTTGCAGCTTCCCCTGATCATTCCAACTCAAAATCAGATCCCATTGATCTTGATGAATATTTTGTCAGTGCTTTTAAGGAAACTTGGAAAGCATTTGATGGTGAGTTTCAAATTAAGGTTACTAATTATTTTCTCATCTTCCTCTCCTTTTTTAAAATTTTTTATGGTGCAATCTTTGACCTTTTGTCTAGACATGTATAGTTATGCCATAAGACAGTTTTAAAACATAATGAAGAAAATTAAGTTTAAAAAAATCATACAAAAAAAACATCAGTTAACAGTGAACATTCTTGTTGAGATTTTGCTGTCACTGAATAATAATATCAATTGTGTTTCCATTTTTGTTTATTAACTGAATATTAGTTCTAAATATATTTGCAGGAGTCACTTTAATATATACATATGTGGAGTGGTTTAGATGTGTGAAAAAGAAATAACAAAATCTTCAACATGGCTCTACAAATTTAAATAAATCTTTATTATTGAGTATTAGTTTTCTTTCAAATTAAAAGAAATGAATTACAAAGATTCTTTGCAAAACAACTTCATACAAAAATATTTGTTTTCTCTTTTTACCACACCACAGAATATTTGCGTTACCATAATAGAAAATAGAATGCATCTATATGTGAAACACGTGTGCCACATATTTATGTAGTTTTAGGTATATGTGTAATTTCCTAGCAGTTGGCAACCAATAGGCAGTGGGCTATCAGCAAAGATAGCTGCTTTAATACTGCTAACATCTGTGTTAACAATAACTCAGTTTGTATATTTTTTTGTGTTTCTTAACCTTTACCCTGCTAAATTCTTTCTAGAATTGTTCCTCCTGTCATTGCATTTTTTTGAGGGCACAAAAAACATGAACACCTACTGTTTTAAAATTGTTATAACTTTCTTTGTAGTGTGTGGATAGAGTTTATTTTTTGTATACGAATAAAAGAATGGATGAGTAATATTTTGATGCAATACATCATATAATGCATTACGTTTTGTATGCATGTTGAAAATGAAAAAAATTGGAACACAAATAAAGAACAAATATATTAACAATTTAACATACTTTAACTTTTATTATTCCTTGTGGCATTCTGGGGGTGCAACAAGAAGCAAAATGCCTAGGAAGGCTTTCATTTCATAAAAAAAGTGACATCCTTCATCATGTTTACATACAATTAGACAGCAGCATTTATTTGCTCTTTCACCTGACTAGCATATTTATTTGTCTTGTTTACAAATAAAGTTATTATTTTGTCATTTATAAAATAGACAAAATAATTCACCTTTAGAAAGGCTATCTGGTACATCAACAGGGCCAGTAGATTCCATAAAATTAGTCAGCCATGGATTATAGTAGCCGCTTGGTACATAGTGGTCATTTCCTCTCTGCCACTAGTGTGGTTATAATCTTCAACTACTTCGCCATCGATAGTCACTTGAGTAAAGCCTTCAAAATTATCATCAGAGTCTGAATCAATGAAAAACCCTCGAATAATGGCTTGGATGTTGCTGTTGTAAATAACTTAACATAGATTTAATTGATGTTACACCTCATGTACAGTGTAGAAGAATTCAAAATGGTGTCAGAAAAATGCAAGTTTAGCCTTGTTCCAAACCAGTAGCAGGTTATTTCCAGCTTAAAATACCAGAAATAAGTTATTACTTCTTTTACTGTTATAGTAGTAGTGGGAGGCACAGTAACATACAACATAGAATCACAGATTGTTTTACCAATGGTCCTTTCCTGATTGATCAAACGTGGCTGAGCTAAATGGAATAAATTAACAAACAAACATGGTAAGTGACAAACAACAGAAGGCAAAGATATAGGGATAACAAATAATCATTTTATTACTAAAATATACAAATGGAGATTTAATATGTTGGGGTATATTAAAAGATGAAAGATGGGGCAAAATAAAACAATGAGACAAAAATAAATATTATGAGACAAAACAATGGTGGGGTGAACTTATCTTTTCAGAAAGATAAATATCATATTGACAAACAACCTTGTGCCAAACTTGCATGAAATTACAAATGACAAAAAGGTAAAATGAGCAAAGATAAAACAGACAATAGAAACAAAGGACTTATCTGTTATTTGAAAAAGTCTTTCTTTATTTTTTTCTTCCTGTTCTTTTAGTGTCTCTTATATGTTTCTCTTTTATATTTCTTATCTTTTATCTTTTCCTTGCTAGATAGAAAGTTTATCTGTGAAAGGGATTCCATTTGGATTTACTTTCTTTATTTTTCTTTTTCGTCTTGTCCAGGGGTTGAGTGAAGAATAAGTTGAATCTTTCTTTTCCTTTTCTCTCAGGATAATGTATCTTCTTTGTTTCATTGTATCTGCTTCTTTTAGCACGCTAAAGTTTTATTTCTTTGAAGCAACACTTTACTGAATCTTTTCAGCTCAGAAACCTTTATAGATTTCTATCAATTTTGCACATCCAAATTTATAGCAGATCATAGCAAGTTTAGCTGGACGTCCATTCAGTTTGAATTCTGAAGAGGGACTGGCTTGGTGGCGGTTTTTATTTTCGTGCCTCACTTTTGGCATGTGACCCATGACTTCCAAATATGGATTTTTACATGTGTGGGTGAAAAGGGGTAACTGACTTTTTCCTTTTTCTGTCATATTTCAGAGAGTTCAAGGTTGCCTTAATGTCTGGTAGTATCCGGTCCAATCATCATGCTATCATGTGACTAAGAAGGAGAAAGTGTACTTTTCGTAGAATGCATAATCTTTGCTCAGATGCATGCAATTTTGATTGAGAACTGTTAATTGTCAATTTCACTTTATTTCCTTTTCATTTTCACACTTTCTGAAAGTACTGGTTCCTCATTCAGAGTACTTCTAAAATATAAACTTTAATGTTGATTTTAAAATAAAATTAGATGAGGGTCCATAACACAGTTGACAAGTGTGTATTTATAGCAACCCTCTTGCTAAGCCTTTTCTGTAATATAGTATACTTGAATAAATATCTGAAAATGTGAATAATTAATTATGGTTTGAGAATTTTAGCTTGTAACAAACAACCCTGGTCAAAGGTTTATGGAATAACTGAAAAAGTAATTTATGTGAACTAATATAATAAAGAAGGAAAGATAGAAAGGTTTAAAGTCTGTTTCAGTGACATGGAAAAAGTTGTTAATTTCAAATCCTTTCATAATAGTTATTGCAATATTTTGTTATAGTTATTAAGCTCAAATATTTAATAATGTGCTATGGGAATTTCTATGGATATTTTATTGTTGTAGAACTCGCCATGAGCTTATTCAATCATTAACTGAAGAATTAAGATTCATTCAAATATTAAAATAGGAAAACCGTGAAATTTTTACAGGTCTTTCTAGTGTAAATTAATTGATTAGAGCATTTCTATGAAGCATTTTTCAAGGTGATTTAGCCAAAATGTTTAAAATAAAATAGTGATTATTATGAAAACTATAATAACTAGAAAGTCACTCCACCCAAAAAACCTTATTTTCATCAATTTTTTTTCTTTTCAGGAAGCCATTTTGTGTTTTAAGTTTACCCTACTTTAATAGCATTTCATCCATCCTTGTTCTGAAACAAACTGACTTTCCTGTAAAGAACATATTAAATACTTTTTACAGATTTGTTTATAGTTACATCTTCTTTAACATTTCAGATCCAAACAAAGCAAGTTTAGATTCCATGCTTGACAGTATCAGTCATAAAAGATTTGCGAATTTTGAACACGAGGCACCGACCTGTGCCCTCTCTGTTGATATTACTGAGAGTACGACTAAAAATCTAGATTATAAGTAAGTATTAATATTCTTCTTCTTTTATGTGCCATGTCCCCTCAGCACAAAAATGATCATAGCTCTCTACAGCTACCTGCTCTTCTTACATAATGTTCATTCATACATTATGTTCATTCTAGGTATTACATTGTTGCACCTCATAAAATGTAAATGCACATCTTTTCCGCCATCCTTGAACTGCCTGCACCACTCAAAAATATTTAATTTCATAGCATATTCACCATAAGCTGTTTTTAATCGGGCTAACATTTAAACTGCACTTTTACTAATCTTCACACGAAAAGTTGATATTAATCCACTGCTCCTGATTATTTTCATTAATTTTCCACCAACAGTGTAGCATGAACACATACAATTTCCTCTATTGCTTGCCCACAACTGACTCATTGGAGGATAACCAAATATGTTCAGATACAAATATTTGCCTGATTCATTACTCTAGGAACATATTATGTTCATTCTAGGTATTACATTGTTGCACCTCATAAAATGTAAATGTATTGCTAATGATTTTACTATAAAAATAAATAATTTCTGTCTGAATTTTGAGGATGAGAAGTTATCATTATTTGCAAACGGACTATTGTCCTCATTTTTGTTGTTGTTATCATGTTTCGGCCATTGTGCTCCCTAGCTTTCAGTGATAAGCACCTGATATAGGCCAGAGTGCATAATGGCTGAAATGTTGTAATAATAATGATAAAGATGACAATAGTCTGCATGTAAATAAAAATAAAATCATTTTAGAAATGCATTGAAAATCAAAAGAGAAAAGGATTGTCAGTAGTTCAGGAATTGATGCAAGTTTTACTGACGAATGGTGATATAGTTTTATTTCTTTTTATTTTTCAGACTTTGGCGTACTTTCTTTCGAGAGCAAAACAATATTTCGAAGACTTTAAGAGAAATGTCAAGAGACCAGGCATCTTGGGATATCAAGAATCTAGACAAATATGATTCTAAAAAATCAGAATCCTTTTCCAAAGAAAAGGAACCAGAAAAAGAGGAAGATGAGAGATTAGGGAGTTTCTGTGCTGCAGATCAAGAAAACCCTGACATAGCCATATCAAATTATCAAGCAAAAGACAGTAAACAAAGCAGGTCCTACCAGCAAGAATTGTTCAGTTCCAACTGTGACGAGGAGAGATGTTACAGTCACAAAGATCAGAGATTTGAATATTTTGAAGAGAAAAAACTTAGAAAAAATGAAAATACAATAGCAGAAAAAAACTGTCAGAAGAATGTGTTTACAAACCGTTATCCAAAAGGCAGGGGTATAGGACTATCACTTTTCTGCTAACATATCAGTGCACCAAATCCCAAACATTCCCAATCACCACACTATATACATCAGGATAAAACTGCTGTAGAAGCTACAGTACATTCAATGAAAAAGATGTAATAATTGAGAAATTTCCTAACCAGCAATTCAAATTGATGATTATTTTCAGAAGAGATATTCTTTATGGCCAGGCACATGCAATGTGCAGGAATAAATTAGAGATATTTTGATAATGAACAGAATTAAAGCTAGATTTAAACTGAAAGTTTAATCCTATACCATTCAAGCTGAAAGCAATATGTAAAAGACAGATAAGCTATCAGTATTCTTCAAAAATATATTTTATAGCCATTTTCGATAATTTACCCATGCTGCCAAAAATGACAATAAATGAAATTGATATATTTTTCTATAATTAGGTTTTTATATGCGAGTCTAAATATATTTTTCCAGTTATTACCATCATACACTCATCTTTCATGGAGTCATTATTTTCCTGGGTTCATAAACATTTTTAAACAGTCCACTGCTGTCTTGTAAAGACACTGCCACTGTCCTAAACAATATCAAAATAATTACAAACACATCCAAAACTATTGCAGATATGGTCAAAACCAAAAATATCCATAACAATAATAATTCTGAAGCAGATATATATATATAAAATAAACTGTCTCAACTGCTCCTCACAGTATATTGGGGAAACTTGTAGAAATTTAAAAGAATGTGTCTAGGAACACAAAAAAGATCTTATACATAATTTATAAAATACATACATATATAGAGAAATAAGTTCAACCACAACTTTGACCTAAAGAATGCCACACTTATTAAAAGTAAAATTAATTTACTTGGATGGAAAGTTCTTGAGGGTGCCACAATCAAATCTTATCAAATCTGTACCCTGGATTTTTTCAAATATATCCTTTCATAAAAGAAATACTGCTTATCCAAGCAATATACATGCCCATAAAAAATTTAAAATATTAGAAGAAAAACAATTAAATTGAAACCTATTATTTAAAATAAATACATAAAAAATTTATCAAATTAAAATAATATATAATAATTGCATCAATAAAAAAAAACACTATAAATTTATATAAATAAATAAGAAAATAAAAAATTCAACAACAAAAATAACATTTACTCAGATTTATTAGGTATCAAATTACATCACTTAGCATCTTCCATAGTTTATTTTGACTTTCACAGTTAGCCTGAAGAGTATTGAGGCATTCTTTCATTTAAAAATTTTGAAAACCTAATAATATTTTTAATACTGTTTCTAAATACTTATAAAATAAAATCCTTACATTTGCTTTCATAAAATTCACCAGAGGACGAAATGAGTGGGTTATGAAAATCTTAACCTTTTGTCTTTATTTATGTATGTATGTGTGTGTGTGTGTGTATACATACATATATATATATATATATATTGTTTTAAAAACAAGGAAAATATTTGTCTGTAAGGCCCTTTCATCCAATTGTTGGGAATAAATTATACGAAAGAACAGTAACAACAAAAATGAAGAGCAAAAAAGGGGGAAAACATGATAATATATATATATATATATAGATATATATATATATATATATCGAGGGAAGGGGAAATCTCATGTGAATACAATTAGTGAGGGACAATTAAAAGTAAAATATTCCCAACAAATTAAGAAACTTGACAAAATCCTTCTACGAGCAGAGAAGGTTTGCACATTGATATGGAGACTGATTCCAAAATCTTTAAAATGATTATTGGAAACGGCTCTATGGATAACTCTAACCTACTCTTTCTTATAAGACTTGGCACATGCTATTTTTTCCACTAAATGTTGCATGATAGCAAATTCCATATTCGAAGAGGGAAGGTAACACAAGTTACTTATTTTGCCAAGTCTTATTTTTGAAGGCACTTGCTGATTGATCTTTGTTTCTAAATGTTATTGGCAACTAAATTCGTAAACCAAATTACTCAATTTGATGTAGGGCAAACTAGCCTTACAGAACAACAGAACCACAGACCTAGTATGAAAAGTGCAACACAGAGCAACAGATGAAAAACAACTAGAAACCGTCTTATTTATCTAACCTTTGACTCCTATCCCTAATCCAATTAATCTTCAAATATACTGGACACTTAGAAGGCTCCAGGACTTTAGGAGAATAAAATTCACTTGTTTTCTTATTAATAATATAATTAATAAGGGCTTCTGGATAGCCATCACACAAGAAAATCTTCCTGATATTCTCCAATTCAGAGTCCAGGGGAACAAATTTTGAGCACTCTGTGTACCAAGGTTTTAATAAGGCTAATTTTTCTTGATGTAGGTTCACACCAATTCATATACAGGCCAGTAAAGGTGGGTTTATGATAGATACTCGTAAGGAAACCCTCTATACTATGCTCAACAACAACGTCCAAAAAAGGTAAGCAATTATCCTTCTCAACTTCCATAGTGAAGGATAAAGCTTTGTGTAAAGAGTTAAGCTTATTGAAAAAGTTCACAGCCTCACTTTCAGTGGAAAAAGTAGCAAAAGTGTCATCAACATATCTAAAATAAATAAAAAGTTCAGACACTTTGCCAAAAAGCAACAACTCGTAGTAACCCACAAAAATATCAGGTAATGCAGGGCCAAGGGGACTACCCATCTGGACTCCATCTACCTGGCTATACATGACATTTTCAAAGCTAAACTTCACAGAACTAATACAAAGTACCATGAGCTCCACAAATACATCCCTAGGAAAATGACCATTCCTAGAATTGATACAATATTCGAGTTGTTTAGACAACTTAGTAATTTTATCTTGGATAAATGCCCGTTCACTAGTTAAATTATATATATATATATATATATATACGTGCTTTTAGGCAGCAAATTCTCTTTTAGGCATGTCTGATTGAATAAATTACAGACATTATGTCTGCTAATTTTTAACAAAATCCATTCATACTCATGAATAATCTTCCATGTACCAATATTAAAGGATGAGAGAAATGTGCTAAAACCATTTAAATTTCTTTTATTTTCATCTTCCAAGTACTTTCGATCTTCTTCCAAGATCATCTTCAGTGGTGCAAGTAGTACAAAACTATATGTTGTTCAGGGGTACAAATATTTATACAAAGCTGTGTGTTACTATCCATTACCGTAATTTTTCATTATGCTTTTAAATGCAAACAGTTGACAATATGCTGAGCTTTCATTAGAACATGAAAAAATTATCCATTATGGAATTGATTCTTCTATGTTATAATGTCATGATCATGTGCACATTAAAGCATGAAAAACCGTTCCTTTATAGGCATTTCAGAACATTACTGAAGTATTCATAGTTGATTCTGTTCAGTGCTGGCTTTAATTTTTTAATATAAATTGCTTATAAGATCTGTAGCTTGAATTTATTTTTTTCTCATTTTTTGTAGTTGTCATATACCCAATATATATATATTTGTTTTTTTGTTGGAGATACATTGTATATTTGGGCAGTAACCTTTCTTTCAAGCATCTTCATTGAAAACGGATGACAACAAAGATTTAATTAATCTTTTCCTGAGTTTTTCCAGCATTCTAACATTTTTCCGTTTTTCAGGAGTTCAAGAATATAAAAATTGTCCATAGTTGTTATTATTCCAAGCACTTTTGGCTAGTTCTATAGCCATTATCAAGGATATTATTTTGGTATGATGAGTTTCAAGTGTTGTCTTCATAGCTGTGTTAAAATTTGTGAAGGAATGTATGTCATTTTCAGCCGTCACATGTTATGTATGACTGGTTGACCTGGGAATCACTCCTAATTTTAGAAAACCTTTAATGCGCTGTCTTCACTGATGTAAGATATAATGACATCTATTGATATATCTAAAATTATATAATTTAATGTATTTGAAGGTGAGCAGAATTTCTGTCAATAAAGTGCTAGATAGTTATCTAGAGTAATAATTACAGATTTAGAAAGAAAAAAGTTGTTCATGAGCAAGCATGTGAATAGGTATTTTTTAATAATTTTGGTGTGGTGAATTCAAATTTTCAAACAGTTTTGCTTTATCATGTCTATTTTTTTTTTTTTTTGTTGCTTTCACATATCCTATTTTAACGATGCATTCATAATACAATCTATGTAGAGAGTAATTAAATGTAAATAAATGGCAGAACTGCCCAATAGAATTGACAAAGTTTGCAATAAACAATAACAAGAAGAAAAAGAAAAAGAAAACACAGCAAAAAATAATATAAAGCAAGCAAATAATATATGCAATGCAAAGCAACGGTAATATGGCAAAAAGTTCACAAACCAATATTTGGGGTTGACACACGAGCAAATTCGGATGAGTGAATGTAGCATTCTGACTTCAAGATATGACAGACTGGGACTGAATCAGATGACACCAAGAACCAGCCTATTTTATTGGCTAGGAAGAAATCCCAGCATGTATTTGCGTGCTTCTGCCTATAAATTCATTAGGGGAAAGTATTTTGCAGTCATTCCTACCCATGATTGGAACCAACACTATGTTTATTTCATACAATATTAAAATGTTATCTTACAGAAAAAAGCATAACATAGATATAGAGCAAAAGCCGCAGGGAGGCCATCCCACTAGGCAGTACCTCTCATTAAGGAGTGGGCTGGGTTTATTGCCCAATGTCTGAGGCATCCTCAAAAGGAAAAGTGCCCAGGGGGCTTGAGCAATTTTTCTACAGTATTGCCATTAAAACCCACTTTAAACTGATCTT